TCTTCTTTTAAGAAAAAATATAATAGAAATGATGATTGATTTATGATTTCAGAATTAAATGTGGCAGTGGTAAAGAAAATGCATAGCATATGGAGGTAAGCAAAGATGTTTTCTTCAATGACATAAACACTTGATTTGTTTGTGTCCAAGTAATATAAGCCCATCCATATGTGTCTTTTTTTATCAATTGCTTTGTGCTTTGAACATCCTTATTTCTTAGCACTAAAGTTCTAGAACTACTGGGTTATGTCAATAAATATTCTCAGGAGGGGAACAACTTTACTAATGAAAGTTATGAATTGAATTACAATGTAGTGAGGTCAAGGTAGTGGCTACAATTCAGGAGTTAAGTTATGGAAAAAGCATCATTTCATGATATTTTTTTATATGTCCATTCCATTTTTATTAATTGATGAATTGACTGATTAATGTTATTTATTTATTTTTAATTAATGAATTTATTTTTATTTACTTTATTTATTTTAATTAGGGGAGAATGATTATTTAGTATACTGTTGTGCCACATCAGAATGGAGATGGCTTTTCCTTTCAGGGTTCATTTAGAGTTATTGTAATTATTTTTTATTTTTACCTACCTTTTTCTTGAAGGTACACACTTGAGGAAGGAAGGCAGAGTCATCCACCAAGTGTCATATCAGCTGCCTTTAGTAAGCTTGTGGAGAGGCATCACATGAATGGCAAAGGTAAAGGTAATGATTTTGCTTTAATAGTTACAGTGAATGCAGCTTGACATTGGACAATTCTTTTGAAGTTCTGTGTAATGCAGTGGTTTGCAAACAAAAAGTTGTACTTTGTCGTAATTAGTCTTCGTAATATCAAGCATGTACATCATAACCCAAAACTGTGAAATGTCATGCACATGAAAAGGTAATTTTTTCAAATGTTTCTGCAGTACATTTTTTGAAATTTCAAAAGCCTTGAAGTTTGTACGTGGAAATTTATTACTGAGCTTTAAAAAAAAACAGGAAATTGAAGTCAGCAAATGAAAACACAGATACTGCATGCCTTTACATGTGCAAACTTACCAAGGCGTGTGAGATGTTGCCCACGGCCTATTTTCGTATTACGAAGCCTAATTATCATATTTATAGCATTTTTAGGGTGTGTATGTGCCATTTCTTAATTGTATGTATGATTTAGATGTACATATTTTTTATATGTTTGTGTTTCTATGCTGTTTTGTTGTATAAATATTTGATATAATAAAAAAAAATCTTTTTCTCTTGCAGTTGACCCAAAGCCCAAGAACAAGTGCAAGAAGGCTGATGAAGGATCATTGAGAACTCCTACATCAAGGGATTACTTGCAAGCAAAGCATACTTCCGATATAAGACTGCCACAGACAAGTGCTATAGAATCAAAAGAACACTCGGTTCTGGATGTTACATTAAACACTGAAAAAACTATCATTAGTCCAAGGGCTTTACTAAAGCAGTATGAAAATAAGTTGGATCTTACAAATTCAGATAAACTGAAAGACAGTATGCATATTAGTGGAACAGGAGAAATTTCTCTTGAACAAGAAAATATAAATAAAGATAGAATGGAGTGTAGTGGTTTTGCTCAAGCAAAGGAACATAAAGATGTCTCTGCAAATTTAGAGACAATAACTGACATTACATCACAATGCCATGCTAAGGGAAGAGGTATAAGAACACCAAAATTTCACAGAGCTATGAGTGCCAGTTGTCCTAAGACTGTAGTAGTTAATCCTATAAACTTCTTACAGCGATATGAAGAACAGTCAAAGGAACAGCCAAGGAAAGATCATTGTGTGAATACAGGTTATGAATCCCCATCCTCTTCAGTAGACTACTTCATGCAAGTATTGTCAAAGAATGGACAAAGACAAAAGTCTTTAGATTCTAATGTTCGTATGAGCAGGACAGATGAATACTGGAGAAGTAAAAATAGTAATAATTGTTATTTTCTGGACACAAGACAAGATGAGTTAGGGGATGGCAAGATTAATGAAGGAGAGATTTGTAAGATCAGAGAAGGGTGTAACGGTAGGAAGTGTATGACAAATACTGGAAGCAGAATATCTGCTGAACAAGCAAAATTTGAATCCGATAATTCAGCCATTGTGGACCGGTTTTGTTATCCACCAGATGCCTTAGTTCAAAAAATGAGAATTGCACCTAGTCATTCAATCTGCAATTCATCTGTACCACACTTTTCATTAAATTCATATTCTCTTTCTCATCCAGATGATTCTCATTTCAATGTTATTTCAAGTGATAAATATGCATCCAGTTCAGTTCTAAACAAGCCTGTCATGCATCCAATGTCACAAATACAGGATATATATCAAAGGCATATTCCTTCAACTGTAAGTATGGCCCACAGTAAACTGGATCATAGGTTCCTTACTGACCATCCTCCAGGGGATCCAACACTCAGAAACATGACTCAGCCCAAGGAGTCTGTTTTTTCCACAATGAATGATCATAGACAGGGCAGTGGAAGGCCCCCATTTATGCATACTCAAAGTCATGCATGTTGTAAAAATAGTGAAGGGGCATGGCCATTTCAGGGGGACTACCAGTATGGGAGTACTTACAATAGTAGAAGACAATATGTTCCAGAGGGAGCCCCTTATCCATTAACAGGATTTAATTATGATTTAAAGTCAAAGTAAGTATTCAGATTTTCTTTATAGTTTTAAACACAATTTTGTATTTAACTTGAAAAAGTGTAAGCTTTATGATACATACAGAAGAGATTTTCCAGCATTTGTGGAGATGAGCCATGCAGCGAAGGCAGTAGCCAGAATTCAAGTTCACAGGAGGTAACAAGACTTCAGCATCCCCACCCTCACCCAGCAGGCAAGAAACATGCATTACACAGTTATGATTTTCCATATATTGGTCAGAGACAGCTAGATTTTACAAAATGTTTGGTAATGCCTATTAAAAACTGGTTTCTCATCAGCGCCCCCATATGAAAATCGCTGCTGCATTAAAAGAGCCTGTCGTTTACAAAATGTCTTCATATTCACTTGTGCAAAACACAACCTGACAGAACATTTTGCGAAGTATTGTGTGGTAAACAGGGCGAGAGTTGGAAATAGTTCACTTCACCTTGCGGACCGTTTGTAAACGACCAAAATGGCTGCCACTTAGAGCCTTAAAAGTATATCTGTCTGAACAGCAACATGTTTCAATTTACCTTTTTATCTTTGTTAGTCACTAAAATGGAAAGTATGTACCAGTGGCACCAGTGTGTATTGCCCTGAGAAGTCACCACTGATGGAATCTGTTCTTAAGCTGTAAAACTATCAAAAAACTCAAATGCACTATGTATCTACCAATTATTACTTTTTTTTTTTCGTTTAAAATTCTAAAATTACATTTTTGTACATGCAGAGATGTCCATTTTATTGGCATTGCCTGTGAAAAGTAATCCTATTTTGGCCTCGATGAAACAATAATAATAGTAATAAAAAAAGGTGTGCTGCATTTGAATTTTGAGAAAGCTCTGATGAGAAACCAGGAATTTTTTAAATCAACCTAATTTAAGAGGGGAAAAATTTACATTTAAATGCTCTTGGTACTTACTTTATTGTGTTACTCTTTATGTTGTTGATGCATTAAGGTCAGCAAAATTGAGCATGAAAATGTTGCAGAGGACTAAAAATTACAATTGTCAGTGCAAGAATAATCTGCAGACATGAATGGTAATACCACAAATAAAGCGAAAAGATTGTGGAAAACACTCCTCATGACTTCAGAGTTTCAGCTCTTATCTTGCTGAGTACACAGAATGTGTCTCTAGTTGTTTTATCAATCTTCCCCATGGGCACGCAGTCATTGCAACTTAGACTGTTGAGTAAATTTTTATGCCATGGAGTTGGGTACTTATGCAAATCACTTCTTGACACAATTTTCTTATGCTAGATTTTTCACAATTGTAGGAAGTTTTGACATAACTTTAGAACTGTCGGTTTCAAAAATACAACATTCTTATCCTCTAGCCTTATTTTGCTATACCAGTTGATTTTTTGTGATATTATTCTCTAGTAGGGGATATTGTACTTCGAAGAGTGGATTCCACAATTCCTTTAAAGCATATGACTATTAGTGTCTGTTGTGTGCAAGCAAGCATTGCATATGGCTTATTTGTATTTGGCAACCTTAAGCAATTGCTACTGTACATTGCATTTTATCATTAGATTATGACTCAAACAAGATTTTCATTAGCTTTTTTTTTATAGAAAACATGCAGAATAGTGTGGAAAATCTGCTTCGCCAGAACTGACTAGAATTTTGCTTTTTGGCTTTATTATTCATTTTTCACATATGGCTAATTCACACTTGAGTTTTTTCAGTAATAATCATTCATCAAATGAGGGGCTTTACTGTACTGTGTAATAATAAAAACTTGAAATTAAAGAGAACTATGAAATAACATTACAAAGTATTGACAGTCCACAATAGTTGATGCTTATATTTAAAATGAAGTAAACATGTTTATGCACATTGTATTAAAAGAAATGTGTTTCATTGGAAGAAAAATGTATCTAGGTATATTACCAGGGAGGGGCAGTTTTATATTTAAGCTCATAGAATAGTATTTATGATCCTCAAGCCTATGAAAGCAGGATGGTAAAATACCTTACGAAATTCTATAGGTAAAAAAATCCAGTCTTGATTTTTAAAACGGAAGTTTGTTTTTTAAATAAAGTAGGTAATATTAGTAATTTTATCTTTATACTAACATATTGGATCTGGTTTCCCCACTGTCTGCACATGGACAAAAAAAAAAAATCTTACTTGAGTACTTTGCAGTTTTTTTTTTTTTTTTTTTTTTTTTTTTTTTTTCCCCCATTTTCCAATGTCTGTACTTATCATCTTATGCTGTATCAAGATGGTAATAAACTGATTTCCTTGAGCGGATACCATATTATGTCTGAAGGTAATCTACAACTCTACCCAGTCACAGTGGCAATAAGTAATATAGTATTATGTCCTTTTTTTATAATTTTGTATTATTCAATTTTCTGTAACACATCTTGCACTGGTGGTCATGGTGGGCAGGAATAGGATCCTGAGTATGGAAAAAGTATCCTCCTTGGAGCCTGTGCTCTTCCAGCCATGGCTCACAGATGGTATATTTCACCCTCATTTACTTGTGGAAATATTGCAAGACCCCCTTCCTAAATGCCCACTGAGTCTAATACTCCTCCAAGATCATTGGGCATATATGATGGGTGATCCCTTTCACCCTGGCTCTCAGCAGAATTTTTCATGATGGCACATTCCCATCACCCTGGCCCTCAGCCAAATTTTTTAATTGAAGGTACATTCCCTTCACCTGGCTGTCAGCCAATTTTTTTTGTATGACATCATGGCCATGTCATCTGTATCCAATGAGTTAATATCTAGGGTTTACCAAGAATGAGTGATTTAGCATGAAAAAGATTAAATGGGGTGTGAAAAAAATAGTTTCATTTTTTTCTCATAGGGCTTTATGTATCAATTGTTTATTGGTTGCTTACACTCATGTACAGGAAGGGATGGTAATGCAGCTTGTGTGAGAGACTGGGTGGATCACCGGGAACCACAAGAGATTTGGCCACCAAATAGTCACTGTAATCAGGTATGGTTAAATAAGTAGGCACATATTTTTTTCTGACTTTCCTTTGTTTTTTCATATTAGGCAAATATTTCAATATTATATTAATACTTCAGTAAAACAAGGTATTTGTTGAAATTTTTCCATCTCCTTGGACCAGTAGTATTATTTATTTTGCCTGGCTAGCCAATGATTCCAATTATATATTTGCTAATAGCAAAAGTTTTGAATAGTAGTGCAATTTCTTCCCCAAGTACTATTTGCTTTGTGGGATTACTTTCTCCAGTACCATCTACTTTGGTTTTAGAACTTCTAGGTCCTAATTATATGCTGAATCATATTGCAAAATCTTGTAACTTTTTTGCTTAATCAACGTTGTTATACTAAGTAGGGTATATTAATTTTGTAGATTTTTATATGACAAAGAATTGTGTCTCTATCTTTTAAGTATGATTGTAACTGTTGAAAGTAAAGGAAAACTTAATTATTGAATTTGGCAATGAGCAGATTTATCAGTAAAGTCAGGCAAGGACACGTGGTAATTTTCTTTTTCCGCAGACCAAATAAAGCTTGAATATATCATTCTTAATTGAGTAGTAGTTTTTTCTCATTTCTCTTCTGTGTAGATTAGTTATTGTAGAAGGATGAAGAAACAATAAGTAGTGACAAAGACAATATTAGATTTTTTTTTTTTCTTTGTATGATCTGAATTAAATTTTAGTTACAGCTTGGATATGTATATATTTATATTTTTTCCAGATTACCAGTCGGTCAGAATTCAGCCCCCCCAAACTATGTGTAGAAAGTAATCCTTCTCCAGAAGAAAGGTTTTATAGACGTAAACTTTATTAATCACTCTATCTTTCATAATTCTGCATAAGTCATCGGTATATTCTCATTTTCCTCAAATATTTGGATAGGATTAAATGTTGTATGTCATCATGCTAGAATTTATACGTATAGTAATATGTATGTAAACCCAAAGTTACCTGCTGTAGCTACAACTAAAGGAATTCTCATTATCATTACTTGTGTTTAAAGATGCCCTAAGTGATATATATTGTTAGAGATAAAGTTTATGAAAATACATTTATCTTGACTTTCAATACAACAAACTAGATGGTTGTTACTGTGTGCGACAATCTATTTTTATTACCTTTACCAGGACAGTTCCAATTTTGGTGATTTGTTAATAAAATGATACTTTACTAACAGCCATTTATTATACTCTCAACACTGAAACGTAGAGCTCTTTACACCTAAAAAGCCAGTGAAAGGACAGTACAGAAAACACAAGTACAGTATACTTGGGATTTGGATTCAGTCATTGAAGTTCTACGGCAGGTCATCTTTCTAGTGTCAGGAATTTTCAACAAGGGCAACAAATCAGCTGTTTACCATAGAAATCATAAGATTGACAATGCCTGGAACCAGATAATGAACCTGTTGCTTTAAATAATTGATAAAAACCATATCTGTAACTATGAAATCTACCAGCACAAACACAGAATGAACAATTAACTTCATAAAATTATCACAGGAACAAAAATTAAAGTCTACAGGAACTATCTATATTCAACAATATTAGTTTCATTTCATGGTAGGATAGTAGGCTTTAAGATAGAATTACTGATAGAAAGTATATCCAATGTTTTTCTCATTTTATATTTAGCGGCAAGTATTATTACTTTGGCTATATCATTATAGAACTAGACATTTTAATAAGTTTTGCAAGTGAGACACTCCAATTTATGGTCTTTTTTATCACTGTTATAGATAATAGCATAGGCTGAATAATTAGAAAATAAATCATGAAACCAATATATAAAAGTATGAATATGAGCTGAGGTAATACAAGTAATACAGGGTATATATATGCATATTTATCAATCCACCTTAAGT